CATCTAAATGGAGTCAATCTCCTCTAAGGTGAATCCATCTCATCTAAGTTGAGTCCACCTCATCTAAGTTGAGTCCATTTCAGATAAATTGAATCCATCTCATCTAAATTGAGTCCATCTTGTCTAAGTTGAGTCTATCTCACCTAAGTTGAGTCCATCTCATCTGGGTCCATCTCATCTGAGTCCATCTCCTCTGAGTCCATCTCATTTAAATTGAGTCCACCTCATCTAAGTTGAGTCCATTTCAGATAAATTGAGTCCATCTCCTTTAAATTCAGTCCATCTTGTCTAAGTTGAGTCTATTTCACCTAAGCTGAGTCCATCTCCTCTAAGCTGAGCCCATCTCATCTAAGTCCATCTCCTTTAAATTGAGTCCATCTTGTCTAAGTTGAGTCCATCTCACACCAACTCTGCATGAAGGTTCCAGGAACGCCTCCCTGTGGCTTCCCAGTGTCAAGGGGGTTTATAAAAGTGCAGAACGGGACTTTTTAGACGGGTAGATAACAACAGGACAGTGGTTTTACACTAAATAAAGGAGGGCAGGGCTGGAACAGATGTTTGGAAGAAATTCTTCACTCAGAGGGTGGTGAGCCACTCAGCTGTGGCTGCCCCATCCCTGGAAGTGTCCAAGGTCACAGCCTGGGATAGTGGAAGTGTTCTGAACATGTCAGGGCTGGAATGAGATGGGATTTAAGGTCCCTTCCACCCCAAACCGTGAAATCACAGCCCAGAGTGTGCACAGAGCTGCTCTTTGTGCCAGGAGAGCTGGATGTGCTGCTGCCTGGATGTGATCAGCAGGGAGCCCTGGACTCGTTCTGCCAGCTCTGCTTTTCTGCCCTGCCATTGCCCAACGCTCCTCAGATGGGATCTGGGCTCCTCTCTGAGCTCCCCAGCAGCAGCAACACCCCGGCTGCACCTCGGCATCGCATTTTCTGGGCCGGGGATTTATTCCATGTGAAGGTGGAAGAAGTGAGAAAGGGCTGGAAATATGCAGGATGTGCAAGGCTGTGTGGATTAGTGGGCAGAGCACGGAGCAGCAATTACCAGGCAGGTTCTCTGCTCCTGCTTGGCTCAGAGTTGTTGTGAGAAGCAGGGCCAGTGAATCATGGGCTGGTTGAGCTAATTCTCCCTGACTCCCCATGACTTCATCACTCGCTGCTGTTTGAAAACCTGCTCTGGAGCCTGTCTAAAGGAGTGCCCCGGGGTTGGCTTAACTGTTTCTGTTCTATTTAGTTTGAAGTGGACCCAGTTTCTTTCACTTTTTCGTCCTGGGGAGATTGGTTTTCTCTCACTATAGGACACGAAACAAAATGACGCGAACTCGCTGCTCTTTTCAAGGTAAAAAAAGAACTTTTAATTTCTGACTCCAACATTTATAGATTTCCAAGGTGACAGTGGAATGACAATGACACTGGACAAACCAACAGCCCATCAAATTTCTCCTCCTCCATAAAGAATGCCAAACAATCAGTTATGTACATAAAGAGTGAGAAAGTTTGTTACAAGAATGTAAACAGCAGAATGCTTAGAAAAACTTAAAAAATCAGGGCGGCAGGTTTTCCAACACCAACCATGTGCAGGGATGTTGCAGAGTGGAAATGTTTTGATAAAACATCCAAACTTTCTGGTACAGAGACAACAAAATGAAATTCGAAACAACCAACAGCAGCGTCATGAGGTATTCATAAAAAAGAGCAAGGATTTTAAGGGGTCACAACCATGAAAAATAAGAAGATGTGAAAGATGAAAAATAAGAGAAAGCCAAAAGGCTGCACAGAGATTTCAGGGAGAAAAAAACTTTCATTTTGCTGAAAAATTTGCCAGCTCCCCAGTGCATGCCTCAGTTTCCCTAATTGCTACGTGGGGTTACCAGCCCAGACCTATTTTGCAAAGGTGTTGTCAGGTTTAATTTGCGAACCTTTGAAAAGCTCTGCCGAGTCCTGGAGATGAAAGGCCCTGCAGATGCCACCCGTGGGTGTGTGCTCTGAGTCACAGGCAGGCAGAGCCAGGGCCCTGGCTGCTGGGACAGGGGACACTTGTCCTGAGCAAAAATCCCAAGGGATGCTCCTGCAAAAAATGAACTCATGCTGGAGGCAGCAGGAGCCACCTCTGGGAGGGGCAGAGATAACGAGATGGCCAGGCTGGGCTGTGTTTTTGGCTCCTAAATTGCCTGGAAAATGTGTGTGTGCACAAATTGGCACCTGGAATATGAGGTCCCCAACACATGGAGGATGTGGAAGTGTTGGAGCAGGACCAGCATGAAGAATTTCTTCCAAACATCTGTTCCAGCCCTGCCTTCCTTTATTTAGTGTAAAAACACTGTCCTGTTGTTATCTACCCATCTAAAAAACCCCTTTCTCCTCTTTTTATAAACCCCCTTAACTCTGGAAAGCCACAGGGAGGTGTCCCTGGAGCCTTCATGCAGAGTTGGTGTGAGATGGTTGATAAAGGGGCTGGAGACAGGCTGAGAGGTGGGAATGTTGGGAATGGAGAAGAGAAGGTTGTATGGAGACCTCAGGGTACGTGGAATATGAGGTCCCCAACACAAGGAGGACGTGGAAGTGTTGGAGCAGGTCCAGAAGAGGCCACGAGGTTGATAAAAGGGCTGGAGACAGGCTGAGAGGTGGGAATGCTCAGGCTGGAGAAGAGAAGGTTGTGTGGAGACCTCAAAGCACCTCCCAGGATCTGCAGGGGAAGCTGGAGAGGGACTCTGGATCAGGAGCTGGAAGAGGGGAAATGGATTCAAATTGAAAGAGGGGAAATTTGAGTTGGATGTTGGGCAGGAATTGTTCCCTGGGAGGATGGGCAGGCCCTGGCACAGGTGCCCAGAGCAGCTGTGGTGGATCCCTGGCAGTGCCCAAAGCCAGGTTGGAGCACCTGGGACAATGGGAGATGTCCCTGCCCATGGCACTGGATGGGCTTCAAGGTCCCTTCCAACCCATCCCATGGTTCTGGGATCTATCTGCATTTGCATCAGTAAAACCAAGATCTAAAAACTCAAACCTTTTATCTGCCTTACCCACCCCAAAATCTTACCAAAGCATCAGGAAAACAAACCAAGGCCACCTTTGTGGCCAGACCTCTTCCTTGGGATGTTTTCTGCTCCTCAAGGATTAACCTTGGCTGGAGCAGCTCTGCTGAGTCTCCTCAGCACACGTGAGAACAGGAGCCTCCACCCTGCAGTATTTTTAATTACTTGGAGACTTACAGGAGTGTTGATGTTCTAAAGAACAGCTCAGCCCAGCAAGCCAGGGGGAAAGAAATGCATTGATGTCAGTCAAATTCTTCCTTTATGAAATCGGGTCTTAAAAAACGGCATTGCCCTTTCCTGGGCTGGGGAATGAATTCTGACTCATGAAAGGCTGTGGGCCTGTTAATAAAAAATTATTAATGAAAGAAATGTCCTTTCCCAACGACTACTACCCAAAAAAATGCAGAATGCCAAGGCATTTCTCATAAAGAGAGAGTTGTGAAGAAATGTCTTTGAGCATGTCTATGAGCCAAGAAAAAGAATTTCACTTTCTTTTTTTCTCATTTTGCACAGAAAAGACCTTGAAAAATTACATTTGTAAGACAGGTTCTTTCCTTCTCCTATCAGACCCAGAATTTATGCTGTTCCTGCTTTGCCTCTGCTTCCTCCACACCTCAAAAAAAGCTGGAAAATGCAGAGCTGGATTTTTACTCAAATCCTTTCCAACAGGGGGTTCCTGGTGGATGTTCAAGGAGATTTTTTACAGGTAAAAATCACCTCCAGCAGCGCCACCAGGGCGTTCTGAGAAAACTCAATTACGCACAAATCTCAGGCATGGTTAATTTGCACCCTGGGCATTCATCTCAGAGAAATCTCACTGAAATTCCGAGTACAATCTGAAGGGATGTGAAAGGAAGATCAGCCTCATCCTTCGGAAGTCGCTGGAATCCACCAGTGCTCATCAAGAGATTTTTTTCTCCTGAAATCATCTGTGATTCCAACAAGTGAACATTTCCCAGGAATTCAGCTACTGGAGACAGATAATTTTTAAAACTTTTTCACTTCTTTTCTCTGGCAAGAGAGATTTTGACCATCTGAGCTGCACCATGGTTCCTCTTCCAGGTGTGTTCCAGTTCTGAGGGCATTTATGGGAAGAGCTACATGGGATACACCTATCTCAGAGCACACAGTGGAGGTTTTATTTCACCACTCATCTTTTGGAGGTTGCCTGGCCTGTGGGAAAAGCAGGCCCAGCCAATTTTGACCTGTTCTCATCCGTGGCTGGGTTATTTCCAGGTCTAGATGGACAGACCTTGCACAAACCCAAAATAAAACCAAAATAAAGATAATAGGGCAGTTTAAACCCAGCATTAACCATGAATTTCTCCTCCCTCCTGAACACAGCAAGCCCCGGGGGGAGCCTGCTTGAAGAATGCTTTATTCTAGGCGTTCATTTTAATTACAACCCTAATTATTTTGGTGCACGGCTATGACCCAGTTAACAAACCCACCTTGGGCATCTTGTGGACTCCCCGACCCTGCCCATCTCTGCAAGGAAGGAACCAAATTATTTTTGAAACAAGTGGTGGAACTGGTTGCTACATCTTAATGAAAATGACTTTTTTTCTCTTTCTTTTCTCTTCTTTTTTTTTTTTTTTTTTTCTGAAGGAGACATTTCTATGTATATAAACAGCCCTTCCTCCCCAACCTGGTTAGACAAGAATGTTCCTGGGTGTGGACTGCCTTGTATAATTAACTGCACAGCTGGAGCTCTTCTGATCCCTCCACGTCTGCTCCTTCCTTTCCTCCTTCCTTTCTTTCCCCCTTGCATCCACCTGGGCGCGATCCGGGCACGCTGCTCCTCCTCGGGGAGCGTCACTGGGGCAGGAAGGTTCCCTGAATTCTGCATTCCAGAGCCATTCCTGGCTGGGAGCAGCACCAGGCAGAGCCTGCCTGCCTTGGAGGGGGCTGAGAGCCGGGAGCTGGAGCAGAGAGCGAGCAGAGAAACCCCTACAAACCCGTTTAGGCCATGGAAACGGGGAGTGCAGCCAGGACAAACGGCACCGCCAGCAAGCCCGAGGACGTGAAGAGCCCAACTACCCCCAAAAAAGAAGAGGAGGCCAAGAAGGCCACGAGCCCTGGCGGAGGCGAGAAAGAAGCTATAAAAGGCACGGGCGGCGCTGCGTTGGAGACAGGGCAGATCAAGAGCTCCCTCTTCTCTGGGAGTGACTGGAAGAGGCCCATCATTCAGTTTGTGGAGTCATCCGACGAGAAGAGGTCAACCTACTTCAGCATGGACTCGGCCGACTCCAAGAAGATGCAGTTCAACAGCGGCCAGATCGGAGACATGAGGAGACCAGGCCTCAACTTCCCGGAGAAGGGCGACCTCAGGAAGTCCCTGTTCTCCTTGGATTCCAAAAAGAGCTTCCTGTCCGCTGACGGGGAAGGGAGGAAGTCCCTGTTCTCCGCGGGGGACCTGAAGAAATCCTCCCTGCCGCTGGTGGAGACGGGGGACCTGAGGAGACCCTTCAACAAGGCCGAGCGCGCGGCGGGCTCGCGGCCCCGCGTGAAGCTGGAGGACGTTCTCTGCGACTCCTGCATCGATAACAAGCAGAAGGCTGTCAAGTCCTGCCTGGTGTGCCAGGCCTCCTTCTGCGAGCTGCACCTCAAGCCCCACCTGGAGGGAGCAGCGTTCCGGGACCACCAGCTCTTGGACCCCATCAGGGACTTCGAGGCCAGAAAGTGCCCCGTGCATGGCAAGACCATGGAGCTGTTCTGCCAGACAGACCAGATGTGCATCTGCTACCTCTGCATGTTCCAGGAGCACAAGAACCACAGCACGGTGACAGTGGAGATCGAGAAGGCGGGCAAAGAGGTAATTTTATTCTCCTTTCATTCCTCCTTTCATTCCTTAAGTTCCTAGCAGCCTGCAGATGTCACAGCACAGCCTTTGCTGCCCTGCTCCCAGGTCATTTTTGGGGTGGAATCCTGGATGCAGTGGTACTAGTGGGAAGTGTTTAGTGGAAACTGATATTTCCTGGCTGCTGGTGGGAAGTATTTAGTAGAAACTGATACGTCCTGGCTGCTGTTTCCATGGGATTGGTGTTCTCCTGATCCTGGCTGCAGCAGCACAGCTCTGCAAGCTGCATTTAGGGATGGAGAACCTGGCTACCAGCGCACCTGACTTCCAGCACAGGCTGAATCAAAGCCCTAAATGCCAAGTTTTTAAAAATATTCTTGCATTTTGGCAGTGTTTGTGTGGTGTTGCCCACAGAAAGTCAGGATCAGCACCTCCAGAATACAAATTGTCAAATCAGTGGCTGGTAAAGTTACTCATGGGTGTTAATGACTATTGAAAATTGCTATCTCAGCTCATTAGAGTGAGATTAGGTTTTGTTGTTTTTTTTTTTCTCTTTTCTGTTGAGCCACACCTATGGAAAAAATCTTTTGAAGTTTAGATGGAAAAAAAAACAACAAACCCTGGTGCAAGCACGAAACTTGATCATTTCCCCTGAAGTGTTACTACAACACGTTCTGAGGATGGACATCCAGGGAGATTTCACTTTTGTTTGCTCAAAGCCTCCTGTTGTTTGCTTTCTGGGTGGATGAGGAGGATTTCACTTGTTCTAGCGAAAAATCAGGGTCTCACCACGTTTGTTTCTCCACATCCCTGTGGGTAAAAGGAAGAAACTTTCTAAGCAGACAGGACAGGAGAGACGCCAATAAAGAGAGCTGTAAAATATTAATTATATAAAACAAGGTGCCTGGAGTCACACAGTCAGGAGCAGGAAGGGCACTAAGATCTCCTAAACCCCAAACCAGTGCTGTGATGTGGTGACCAGGCAGAGAGAGGTTCCTGCTGTGAGAAATCCTTGAGTTCCCTTCATGGGAAGGACAACTTTGCTCTTCCCAAGGAGCTGGGAAGATTCACCTCATCAGGCTGAGAGAGCATCCTGTGCAGAGCTTATCTCTGGCTCCTCTGGTCTTTTCTTGCCTTGTCATCTCCAGTTTGCAGCCCTGCTGAAACCAGACAAAGCCTTTTCCACGTCTCAGACAGCCTTTCCCAAATTCCTGCAGGGCCTGCCAGCCTTGCTGTTTGTTCCATAATTGCCTGAACTCGTGGTTTTGATGTCAGCCCTGACATAAAGCTGTGCCTGGTGTCTGCCAAGGTGTCCAATTCCTGCCTGGAACGAGGTGAGCAGCTGCTTCCTGAGGAAGCAAAGCTGCTCAGATCCTTCCTCCTGTGCTGGAGACACCTCCAGCACCTTGGTTTTAAAGGCACAGCCATGCATGAGCAGAGAATGGGATTTAAATGCTGTTTGATTCCTTGTCTCTGAGTCTTTTTGCCACCTTCAGCTTTGCTGCTGCTCAGCCTAGAGGATTTAGGATTTATCAACATGAATCATGCCCATGTGTGAGTTTCTCCTGACAGAGTTTGATCGTGTTGTAACTCGAGCGAGCATTCACTCAGACAAAAACAATTAGCAGCAAAGCTGTTGCCTACAAATGCTTGTTCCCAGCCCTGATTTATTCACCAGAGGTGGAGCCTCAGCAGGAGCCACAAAGAGCAATGAATATTTCCAAGCCCCTGGTGTTTAACACCTCTCCTTATCACATCAGCCCAGCTGGAATTTGTGACCACAAACTGGGAGGGTGCCTGGTGCTGCTGCCCTTTTGGGAGGGATAAATCACAACCTCACACCAGGTCACCCTATCCCTGCCCTGTTCTCCCAACTTGGCATCCCAGCAGCTCCAGAGGGGCTTTAAAACCTCAAAAATCCATCCTGCCACTGGGATAAAGCTGTGTCCTGGCAGAGCTTTTCATCCAGATCCATCCTGCCACTGGAACAAAGCTGTGTCCTGACAGAGCTTTTCACTTTGAAACTCCAAATCTTGTGCCACTGGAGTGGTGACCAGCACAAAGCTGTGTCCTGACAGAGCCTTTCACACCTTGCTGGATGTTCCAGGGTTTATCTGCAAGGATTTCCTCACCCCTGGCTGCTCTGTGGCTCCAGAACCGGGGAGGGTTCCAGAGCTGGGGTTTGCTTTGCTGCACTGCCAACCTGGGGGCTCAGCGATTTGGTGGCACAAAAGTGTCACAGAATAAGCTTGGTTTAGGTGCATCTGCCCTTCAGACCTGCAGAATTAATGCAGATTTCAGCCTGGCTTTGCTGCGGGGAGGAGAGGGGCTGTGCTGTAGAGAAAGGAATTAGGAAACGCTGCTTGTCTCACGGAGCAGACAGAGCAGAGGAATGCAAACAAGCCAGAACAGACACCTATAGTTAGGGCAGTGCAAACCTGATATCTCTGTCCCAGACAGAGAGCACAGCCCCATCTTCCACTTTTCAGCAGCCTGGGGTGAGAGTCACTCACCCCCTGTTCCTGCTGGGCAGACACAAGTGAGAGAAAGGCACAGGGACTCAGACACAGACATTTGTCCTGACTTCCCACCCAGTGCTATTTGCCTATTTTACCCAGCAAACCTTTAATGCTCTCCCCAGATCCACTTTGCATTCATTTCCTGCTGCAGCTTTAGAGGAAAAGTAACAGTTTGCACCAGAACCAGCACAAAAAAAAACAGCCAGGAAAAAAAATCGGTGAGGCTGGAGAATAACAACTCACACCTGAAAAGTGAGAACGCTCCACAGCAGCTTGTCCAGGCCAATAAAACCCTGATTTATCAGCAGAGCCCCCCTTGGATCCAGCATCCTTCATCCTGAAAGGGGATCCTTCATCCCAAACCTGTTTTACAGGGCTGCTCTCCAAAGGAGACAACTTCACCTCTGCCTGCCAGTCCCAGAGCTGGAAACAACCTGGCATCGCATTCCAGCTCCAGCCCTGGTGCTCAGCATGCCAGGTCAGCTCTGCTGAAAACCACTTTGATCTGGTTGTTTTTTTTTTGCTCTAATTCTTTATCTTTTAAAGCAAAGTTCGCTGTGGGTACAGGAAGGGGAGCTGGGTGTTCCTCCTTCCCACAGAGCTGCTTTGAAAAGGGGCTTTTTTACAAAGGCTTTGAAGAAAACCATCCACAGAGATGGATCCAGAGGGGTTCCCATCTCTGCATCACTCTGTCAGTGAACAGAGAGCAAACAAAATTAAATTCTGGAAGAGTTTGGGGGCTTTTCTCAGTGCTGCAGCATGGCTGTGAGGTTTTACCTGCACCAGCTGTGGCTGCTCTGTGGGCACAGCTCAAAATAAATTTGTCTGTTTGCCTGAATTCTGCATTAATCCTCCACACTGAGGGCAGAATCCAGGCAAAATCTACTTGTTTTGAAAGCAAGGAATTCCACTCTTGGAGAGAATTCCTTGCCTTCAAACATGTGGAATTCCAACAAATTTCACTTGTTTGCAGGCAAAGAATTCTCTCCAAGCTGTGCAGACTCAGCTTTTCCAGGGGCATTTCAGGGGATGCTGGCAGAGTTTTCAGGGGTTTCAGCCCTCTCTGCTTAACAGAAAATGAGATGGGAAAATGAAGTTGTGCACCCAGAGATGGATCCAGAGGGGTTCCCATCCCTGCATCGCTGTCACTGAGCAGAGAGCAAACAAAATTAAACACTGGAAGGTTTAATTCTGTTTAATTCCAACAAAGTCCACTTGTTTGAAAGCAAGGAATTCTTTCCAAGCTGTGCAGACTCAGATTTTCCAGTGGCATTTTATGGGATGCTGGCAGAGTTTTCAGGGGTTTCTGCTTAACAGAAACTGAGATGGGAACATGCAGTTGTGCACCCAGCAGGAATCACGTCCCAAACATCCCCCTGACTTTCCAGCCTGGCCCTGCACTGGGACAACGAGCTGGAGCAGCACTTTGTGCAGCTTTCCCTTGGTTAATGAGCAGAGCTGGGGACACAGGGCTGTTCCCAGGGTGTCCAGGGCATGATGCTGCTTGTGCTGCTGCTGCCTCCTTGCACAAAGCGCTTGCATCATCGTGCAGGGCTCTGTAATCTCCCATCTGCAGCTCCTCCACAGCACCAGGGCTGGGTTCAGCTCCTTGGATGTACACTCTGAACTTTCACTGAAGCCTCTCAACTGCCCTAATTAGCTGAGGCTCTAATAGGGGATCCAATCTGAGCGCGAAGGTTCTCAGTGCCTTCGGTTCTCAGCCTGCTGTGCTCAAAAAATTGTATAAATCTGGATTTTCTGGCATTTCCCACACTATTCCTGTTATTTCTGCTCTGGGGGGACCCCCACCATGGGGGCGTTGCTGTTTTATCTCTCATTAGGATCTTCTGTACCCCAAATCCTCCAATGGATTTGTTCTAGAGGGTCCATCAAGGATTTCTGAGCCTGGAAAATCTGAGAAATGTGAAGACAGATGGGAGTTTTCTCTTGGGGAGTGAAGCTGAGGCACTGCCTGTCCCCAACCCCTGTGGCCCCCATATTGTGATTATATTTCTGTCATACACATGGGCAGCCAAAGCAACCTTCCAGACAGAAAAAAAGGCATTAAAACCATCAGGAAATCACCTATTGAACCCTTGGTGTTGTTCTTCACCTCCAGAGAACCCTTCTGCCCGTGCCACCACTGCTTCCACTATTCCAGACTCTCCCTGCACCTCTATTTAACATTTTTTCCCTATGTTTAGGGTAATTTTTTTGGTAGTATTTATTTAATTTCATGCAGCACGCCACAACCCCACCTCCCCTCACCTCCCCTGCCCCTGCTGCACACGGTGCTGGCGTTTCCCCTTTGCCAGATCTGGCTGAGTGTGGGATTTGCATCCTGGCCATTGGGGCCATCTCTGTAATTTCCATTTGCAAGTCATAAACCTGCTCCAAATTGTTGTGTGCCTCTGCTCCTAAGTGGCTGTTCCACCCCACACCACCTTTCTGGGGGGTGTTTGAACTGCTGGGAGTCACGAGCACTTCTACAAATAATAGTTCCCAAAATTCCTTGGAGACCCATCTTAATTAAAAAGGAACCATAAAAGCATAATATTGTTATCACCACCTTCCAGCCATCACCTGATTTTTTTTTTTCCTGTCATTTTCTCTGTAAATCCCTTGAGTTTGGGAGTGTCTGTGTGGCTGTGAAAGTTCTGCTCTTCCCAAAAAATTCCTTCCAATCCTTCTCTGTAGGACTTTACATCTTTAAAAAAGGATGTTGCATCATTTTTTAAAAGGATGTCCTGATTTTTGGGGATGAGGAGGGAAATAATTGCTCTGGAGATGAGCTTTTCACTTCACAAGCAATCAATGCCTGCTGGATGTGGCTCAAGGAAATCCCTGGAATTTGGGTGTAATTTCTCACGTTGGTTAATGCAGTGGATAAAAGGATCTAAACCATTTTCCTCTCATTGCATTTCCCTGCTGTGCAGAATCCCCATGCACAGGACATCTCCCCCTGCACGTGGCAGTGGAAGCCAGCAGGAGTTCCTCCAAGTCACTGTCTTGAAAATGTGAAAATTACGGGATCAAACTCCTCTCTTTGTTCTTTCCATCAGTAGCAGGGCAGATTTTCTCATCTGGAAGCCAGTGTGGGTTCCCTGGTGAAGCTGTGCCACAAAATCCTTCCCTGTGTGCCCTGAATCCCTGCAGAGGGTGAGAATCAGCTCATGGCAGCATTCAGGCCTCTGCTGAGGGTGTGTGGGTGATATTTACAAGTCCAGTGCTCTCCTAACTCCTAAAAACAATCTGAGGATGCACTGAGACACCTCTGAGCACGCTTCCCTTTTCTCTGCCCCCTTTTCCTGTGTTTTATAAGGCAACAAAACCACCATCCAGTCCTTGTCCCTCCACAAACAGAGATGTTCTGGGTTGGAGCAGCTGGGGCTGCTGGCTCTCAGAGCAGCTGTGCTGGATTCCAGCTCCAGAGGCTGCTCAGACACTTGGCTGGCATCAGGACAGCAGCTCCTGTCTGGGCTGGTTCACAGCTCCTTCCCTGCTCTTCATTTCCAGTGCAGAACTGGAAACCCTCAAACTCTGATCAATAAAAACCCAGATTTTCATGTTCCACCGCATTCTTGGATGGACAGCCGGAGTGTGAGAGTGGATTTATCCATCCATGCCTCTAATTGTTGGCCTGAATTTCAGTGGTTTGGGTGAATTTAATGATTTTGCAGAAGATCCCACGCGACCAGCAGGTTCTCAGGACTCTCCTGACATGACAGAACACGGAATTTCTGCCAGTTCTGGAATTCCTCAACAGCTCTGGGCTGGGTGTCCCACAGCCAGATTGCCTCCAGCCATGGCTGAGACCAACCTGCACACACATGAAATGCAGAAATGCCCCAGCAAAGGCTGGGGAAGGATCTGTGGGGCAGGGATGGAGAATGGGAACAACCCAGGGAGGGATTGCTGGAGTTAATGGGGCAAAGATTTGACAACATCCAAGTCCAGGGCTGATCCAGGGAAAAAATGATGCAGGGAAACAGTGCCACCAATTCCTGTGCAGGTCCCAGCTCTGAGCTTCTCTGGGAATCCACTGCACAACAAAATGCAAATAATCCCAGTGAAATTGCTGATCTCAGCCCAGCAGGTTGACTACACCTCTTCCCTCCTCCTTTTGTGGCTTTTTCTTTTTTTCCTTTTCAATTTTTTTTTCCAAGCATTCCCCAGCTCCATCGCTACATGAAAGCTCTCAATTCAGAGCAAATTAATCCACAATCCTGTCTAAACAGAATTCCTGCCGGAGGCATCGTCCTCTTGTTGCAACACTCGTCCAACGTCATTCCGTAATTACACGAAAACTGTTATTGCTGCACAGGCACACCCTGGGCTGGGCCCTGCTCTGCTCACACAGCTGAATTTTGAAACAGCTCCCTTCCCCTGCAGCTCATGACTCCCATGTGATTAAAGGCAGCCTGGGAGGTGGGTGCTGCTGCTTTGCTGAATCTGCTGGGTCGGTGCCCGCTGGCAGCACGTGATGCCAGCTGGACCTCCCTGCTGCTCTGCTCAGCCCAGCAGTGAGGATTTGTGTCCTGGTTTAGGGCAAATTGGGGAGAAAACCTCCCAAAAGGGGGCCCCTCCAGAAAGCAAACTCACACCAACCAGTTTGGGAGGGATTCCTCAGAGAGAAGTGGAAAGAACCTGCTTATTTAACAGGAAAACACTCCCCAGCACACAGAATGAACAATACTGGGTGGCACCGCTCTGTCACCACTCTGAAAAAGATGACAACTTCAGAAAGTCTCTCTTGGGGGTGGTCTCTCTGTTCTCAGTCCCTCCGGTGCTGGGGCAGCTGCTGCAGCCACAAGGTGCAAACTCTCGCTGTTCCCAGGTCCCAGTCTGGAGCAGGTTCAAGTTGGTCCAACAAAGGGAAAGGAGAAACAGTCCAGGGAAAATTTGGGCTGCTGAGCTAAACTAACTGATAAGCAGAAGCGAGAGCAAAGCAAAAGGCAAAGCAAAAAGCAAAAGCAGCACCATGTACTGCCCCGTCTCTGTGTCCCACCAGCTGTGGGGGAGCGGCTGATGGCAAAACAAAAACAAAACTTCACTTTTCAGAGCCAGTCTTGAAGGCACAGCATATGATATTCAGCATAAACAGCACACACAAATGGGGGTACAAGCATCATAACATCACCCCAGGACAAGATGCTGTGGGACTTAGAGAAACAGCAAGGGTTTCTCACAGTGGCTTGTGAGAACATTCAGGGAGTTGTGAGGATGTGAGAACTTGTTGAGCACAATCAATCTGCAGGTGGTGTTGTTCTACTTTGTCTTTCTGTTCTTCTCAAGGACGGTGTGTGAGAAAGGTGCTTTTGTTAAGTAGCCAATCAAACAGAATCTATCCTATCACTCTGTAAAAAACATGTGGCTCTCTTGAATAAACCTTCTTTGCTCTTTCTGCAATCCTGCCTCTCCCCTGTTCCTGTGTCATTCTCTGTGCAAGAGTGGCACGGCAGGGCAGGCTGGGGCTGGTGGAAGGGACCACCAGCTCACCAGGCTCCCTCCCCTCTCATCTCCTCTCCTCTGCTCTCCCCACAGACCGAGCTGTCGCTGCAGAAGGAGCAGCTGCAGCTGAAGATCATCGAGGTGGAGGATGAGGTGGACAAGTGGCAGAAGGAGAGGGATCGCATCAAGGTGCGTTCGAGGGGTTCCCCTCTCCCTCCTGTGAACCCCAATTCCTGTTCCCCTCCTCTCCCTCATCCCTCCATCCCTTCCTCACTCCATCCTTCCCCAGCCCTTATCTCATCCCCAAACTCCCAGCCAAATCTTGGAAACAACAACTCCCACTGAAGTCATCTTGCGACATTCCCTGCGGGGAGATGCAGCCCTGATACAAAACCAAGGCACCTCCCTGCTCTGGCTCCTTTTTTAGGTCCTTTGTGGCCCTTCCATCACCAGCAGCCAGGCAGATTTAGAAACAAAATCCACAAATAACCTGCAGGAGGGCTTTGGGTTGCCCAAACTGAGATAAGACAGCAGGAGCAGATGAATTTACCCACACTAACATCTTATTTATGGTGGAACAGCTTATTTCCATGCTGAGAGAGGGCTCCTTTGTAATTCTTGCACCGTGGTAAGGGTTGGAATAGAGTCATGGTATTATTTTTTTCATTTATAGCCTAACTGAATAAAGCAGTGAAAGCACAAGTTGGAGACACCCCAGAAAATTTGCATAATATTAACAGGCAAAGCCATTCCTCTCCCTTTTATGTGGTGCAAGCACATTGGCTCACCAGCTCTGCTTTTCATCTGCTTTATTATTACTATTATTATTATTATTATTATTATTATTATTATTATTGGAAACCTGACCTAGAAATTCTGACTCTCAATATAGTTACATCCCCAGTCTTTCTGAGGAATATTTCAGAGGCACCTCGAGGTCAGGCTTGTAAAAAGAGTTTCAGCACCTTTCATCCTTTGAAATGGTGGGAATTTGGTCCTCAAATAATCCAGGAGCCAGAGCCCTGATTTAGAAGGTGACAGAGTGTTTTTAAATGTCACCTGTGAGTGCATGAATTGAAATTGGAGATGTGCTCTTACCTCTGGGAAGGCAGTGGCCCTTTTGGACTGCATCCATGTGAATATTGCAGGAACAGGTATTGCTTCTCTTGGCACAACTTTCCAGCAGCTGAGACTTGCCTAGCTGGAGTTTCCATACCCTAAATGCTGAACCCTTGGATTTATCCCCCTCTGTGTCTCTCCGTTAGCAAAGAACTCGGTGAAATTTTAATATTTTCTTGCTCCTCTTTCCCGCTGCCTCCTCTCTGTGCCCCTTCCCCACCCAGAATTACACCACCAACGAGAAAGCCACGGTGGACCAGCACTTCAAGGAGCTGATCCGTGACCTGGAGAGGCAGAGGGATGAGGTGAAGGCTGCCCTGGACCAGAGGGAGAAGATTGCCTCGGAGAACGTGAAGGAAATCGTGGATGAGCTGGAGGAGAGGGCGAAGCTGCTGCGGGAGGACAAGGAGAACAGGGAGCAGATCCACCAGATCAGCGACTCCGTGCTCTTCCTGCAGGTGACACAGACTTCATTTCCCTTCCCTTTGTCCTTGTGAGGACGAGATTTGTCCCAAAGACAATCCCAAAGAAGTGTGAGATGTGTGAACTCTCATGGTGAGGGAGATGGAGAGACTGAGTGGTGATCAGAATCCAAATTTACCGTGGCCTACACGTGCTTATATGCTATTATATACCCTGTGCTTATATACTATTATATACCCTCATTTCCCTTTCCTTTGTCCTTGTGAGGACAGGATTTGTCCCAAAGACAAGCCCAAAAAGGTGTGAGATGTGTGAACTCTGTATATAAACTGCCGGTGTCAAGAAGGCTTGTAAGGAAAGAGTGGAATGGAATGATAATAAAATCCTGTGACTCTCAGACAGTCTGAGCCAGCTGGATTGTGATTGGCCATTAATTAGAAACAACCACATGAGACCAATCCCAGGTGCACCTGTTGCATTCCACAGCAGCAGATAACCATTGTTTACATTTTGTTCCTGAGGCTTCTCAGCTTCTCAGGAGAAAAAATCCTAAAGAAAGGATTTTTCATTAAAAAAACTGTAACACCTTTCCACTTTTGGATTCCAACACCAACCAGCTCCCTCCAATTCCCTCCAGCCTCCACACCTTTATGCTCCTCATTAATGCCATCCCTTTCTCTGGCAGGAATTTGGGGCTCTGATGAGGAATTATGTGCCCCCTCCATCCCTCCCAACCTACAGCGTGCTGCTGGAAGGGGAGAGCATGAGCCCATCCATGGGGCTGCTCAGGGATGATCTCCTCAACGTCTGCATGAGGCACGTGGAGAAGATCTGCAAGGCAGACCTGGGCCGCAACTTCATCGAGAGGAACCACATGGAGAACGGTAAAACATCCCCAAAATTCCCCTCCCTGCTTCCCTGGAGGGCAGGCTCAGGGTTGGTGAGGATGGTGAGCACTCCTGGTGAGGAAGAGAGCAAGCAAAGACCTTGGGGGAAGGTGGGAGTAGCAACTCCTGTAGCTGGAATGAATTCTGGAAGGAGCCACATGGAGAACAGTAAAACAACATGGAGAATGGTAAAACATCCCAAATATTCTCCTCCCTGCTCCCCTGGAGGGCAGGCTCAGGGCTGGTGAGGGTGGTGAGCACTCCTGGTGAGGAAGAGAGCAAGCAAAGACCTTGGGGGAAGGTGGGAGAAGTGACTCCTGTAGCTGGAATGAATTCTGGAAGATGAGAGTTGTTAGAATGTGAGTTCTGGAATATCAGAGTTATTCTGCCACTCCCGTGTGGGCATGGAATCAGCTGAACTGCCAGATTTAGGTTATCCCATACAGGACAGCAAACTGGCCCCACTTCCCTGAGTTTTGGTTCATTTCAGGGTTTCATGTTTAGCATTTAACGTGTGGAGTCAAGAGCAGCCACCCTTCCCTCCTGCCCTGTGCCGGGCCCCATCCAGCTCCTGGAAGTTTAGCAGGACATTTTCCAGGAGGGGAAACTCCACAGATCTGCAGAGGCAGCTCAGTGAAGGGTGAATTCACACAGGCGAAATGTGGGATGGCAAGTTTGGAACCCCATTTTTACACTCAGTTAGCACCTGGAGGGTGCTGGTGTGACATCAAATGTTACAAGTGCAGGGCTTCAGCACTGAAATACCCTGCAAGCACCTGCCACTGAGAAGGAAATATTTGAAAATCTAATTTTCCAAGTAAAAAAGGGTTTAATTTGAGTGTTCAGCTACAACTTGAGCTGGAATGATTCTGATAATATTTCCTGTTCCACCTGGGGACAGCTTTCCTGCCTGCCCTGACCCAGGCTGTTCCCCACACCTCAGTGGTGTTTAAGGTGAACAGAGAGCTCACAGCCACCACCACATCAGCAACACCAATCTTTTAACTTTAGAACCCACTTCCTCACAATTAGCTGTGAATAAAGGACTTGTCTTGCATCACACCTGAGATCAGGACATCCTGCTCACTCACACCTGAGATCAGGACAGGGCACCACAACAGGGCTGTGCTCTCTGCACTTCCCAGATCTTTGTAACCCTGGGCACGTTGCCTAATCCCAGGGGATGACCTCTGGCAGCAGGGATGGGAATCAGTGGTGACCTCACCTGGATGGTTATCCATGAGAGCAGGGATGAGTGGTTACCTCACCTGGATGGTTATAGAGGGAGAGCAGGGATGGGAGTGAGTGGTTATCTCACCTGGATGGTTGTCCAGGAGAACAGGGATGCGTGGTTATCTCACCTGGATGGTTGTCCAGGAGAGCAGGGATGGAAATCACTGGTTATCTCACCTGGATGGTTGTCCAGGAGAGCAGGGATGGAAATCACTGGTTATCTCACCTGGATGGTTGTCCAGGAGAACAGGGATGGAAATCACTGGTTATCTCACCTGGATGGTTGTCCAGGGGCAGCAGGGATGGCAATGAGAGGTTATCTCACCTGGAAGGTTAGCCAGGGATAGCAGGAATGAGTGGTGATCTCACCTGGATGGTTATCAGCAGAGCAGGGATGGGAATCAGTGGTTACCTCACCTGGATGGCTATCCAGGGAGTGCAAAGATGCCAAGGAGTGGTTACCTCACCTGGATGGTTGTCCAGGAGTGCACGGATGGCAATGAGTGGTGATCTCACCTGGTTATCTCACCTGGATGTAATCTCCCAGCCACTGAGGAAGCCCAATACCAGGGCAGCAGTGGGTGATATCAGGATAAGTGGCACCCTGCTCTTCCAGGAGGATGTGGGAGGCCAAAAGGTGCAGGAATAACCTCAAGGACAGCTCAGGCAACACAGGAGATGAGGAACTCTGCTGCAGATCTGCAAAATTGTTGATAATCCACTCAAACTCACAATATTTAATGGAGACCCCTCCTGTATCAATAATTACAGAGCCATCATTCTCCATCAGACATTAATTAAATGGACCAGATCCTTCTGGACCAACCTTTCAGGAAGGTCAGGGATCCCAAAGTGCCCAGGATGCACAGCTAGATGCAGGTTTTAAAACTCCCCCTGCCTTTAAAGTAGCACCAAAAATTGAACATTACTCATCTTCCATCACTGCAACACTCCTATTAAAATTCCCAACACTCCACATGCTCCAGAATTACCGAGACAATACCTCAATATCAATAGATGACAAACAGATGCAAAAATCACTTCTGTGCATTTTTCTTTCTTTGTTCACCTGAAGCTGTGCAGAATTCCCATCTGCTGGGTTTTGCCAGTCCTGGAGCATTTACCTTGGACATTTTTAAAACTCAACAAGGTTCTGCAGCTGCTCAGTTCTGGTAGCTCAGGATAAAGCCTGATTACTTCGTGATTATTTTAATTGGGGTCTCCTCCATGTTATAGATGCCAGAAGCCCTCGTTTTTATTTGAAATTCATAGAATCCAAGTGGCAAAAGCATTTTTAACTCCTGCCAGGAACCTGGGTGCTTCCAGGTGCTTTACCAGGGACTCAGCTTGGATCCTGCCCTAATGAAAAGTTGGGAAATGTTATTTATGGCCAGTCCCAGGAGCTTCAGAGCTCTCCATTCTCCAAGCCATGGTTGCAGATGAAAGAGGGCAGCACTCTGCATCCAGTGGCTGCCAGGGAATTAAATCCATTAAGGAACTGTGGAGTTATTAACTCAGACTCCCCCTGAGTCACTGCAACAAATTCATTTGCAGCTGGCTTGATCTTCCACTGTAAAAAAAACTTCCCAGGAAGAAATATTATATTAATGGAATGAAAGCTGCTTAATAGCAGACTCCAAAGGGAATCCATGTCCTTTTAGTTGTCATAACAGGTACCTGTGTGGTGAGGAGACAAATAATCAGGGAGCTTAAATAGCACTGAAAGAAATGGGAGAAATAAAAGAAAAGTTTGTTCAGTGACTTGAGAATCAAAGAATGGAGCTATTTAAACACAAAAACCGAATTTACTTCCTTGCAGAGAACAATAGGTTTGTAGAGGCCTCCAAAGAATGTTTTCATGAGCAAGTGTGGTGATAAAGCCTCATTGCCTTTATCAGTGTCAGAAACCCAAACCCAGGCTGTTTGATCCATGAAACCTGAACCAGCCACCCCTGCCCAAGAGTTTAGAGCTGTTTGCAGCTCAGCTTTAGCATCTCTCTCTGGAAACTGGAGAAGCCAACCCATTTAACCCCCCAGAAGTGATTTCTGGGGCTTTCAAGAGTGGCAGTTCTCCATCAGCCAGGCTGTGCTCAGGTGAATACAGTTAAGGAGACAAACTCAAACTTTTGGAGTCATTTTTTACCACACAACATCATTTTGGTAAAAATGCCTCAACCCTCAGGTCTCCCTATGGATTTTAGAAGATCCTGTGTCTGCTGGGAGGTTGAATGCCTTACCTGGGCTTTGCCTCAGAAGAAATCTTTTATTTTAGACCCTGGCCAGCTCCAGAACTGCTTTAGCTCCCAGACAGAGATGCCCCAGGGGGATTAAAGACCCCCAAAGTGCATCCTGTGCTCCCTGGACCTGGGGGTGCTGGTTGAAATGAGCCAGCAGAGTGCTCTGGCGGCCAAGGAGGCCAATGGCTCTGCCTGGGTCAGGAATGGTGTGGCAGCAGGAGCAGGGAGCTCATTCTGCCCCCATGCCTGGCACTGGTGAGGGCAAACCCTGAATGCTGTGTCCAACTGTGGCCCCTCAGTTTGGGAAGGGTGTTGAGATGCTCAAACACAAGGCTGGTGAGGGGCTGGGAACACAAACCCTGTGAGGAACCACTGAGGGAGCTGGGGGTGTTTAGCCTGGAGAAGAGGAGGCTCAGAGGTGACCTTATTGCTCTCTACACCTTCCTGAAGAGAGGCTGCAGAGAGCTGGGGTTGGTCTCTGACAGAAGCAGAGGACACAGTCTCCAGCTATGGCAGGGAAGGGATAGGTTGGATATTAGGAAAAATATTTTCACCAAAAGAATAATAAAGCACTGGAATGCTCTTCCCAGGGAGGTGGTGGAATCACCATCTCTGGATGTGTTTAACAAAGACTGGACATGAAACTTGGTGCTATGGTTGAGGTGTTAGGGCACAGGTTGGACTCGATGATCTTAGAGGTCTCTTCCAACCTCATCATTCTGAGATTCTGTGATTCAATTTCTGTGTCTCTGAGATTCTGAGATTCTTCAATTCTGTGACTCTGATTCAGTGATTCTGTGATTCTGTGTCTCTGAGATTCAGTGACTCTGTGATTCTGCAATTCTGTGATTCTGCAGTTCTATGATTCTGCAATTCTGTGACTTTGTGATTCTGCAATTCTGTGATTCTCTGACTCTGTGATTCTGCAATTCTGTGACTCTGTGATTCAGTGATTCTGCAATTCTGTGATTCTATGTCTCTGTCTCTGAGATTCTGTGATTCAGTGATTCTGTGATTAATTCAGTGATTAATTCAGTGATTCTGTGATTCATGCCCTGCTCTCCCTCCCCAGGGGATCACCGGTTCATGATGAACAACTACGAGTGGAACCAGCCTGACAACCTGAAGAGATTCTCCATGTTCCTGTCTCCCAAAGGTAAGGATGGCATCCCACAGCTGGCCAGGCTCCCTTCCACCTCAGGAAAGGAACCTCACTCATGGTCCAGCCCAAAATTTGCTCTTTTCCACATCAGATCCATCCCTCTGCACGTTTTCTCGCCAGTTACAGAGCTTTTGTCTCAAAGCAGGCAGAAAAGGTTCTCAGTTTTATGGGGAAGAGCTGAAATAGCTGAACTCTATCCAAGAGTGAGTATAGGGGAGTTTTGACATGGGTTTCCAGGATAAAATCAGTGTTTTTCTCCACCCAAAGCTTATCTCTCTGTGCTATCAAGTGAAAGCTGCATTTTACTTTCACCACCAAACATATTTTTTCCTAACAGTGAAAGGACAGAAGAAGTAAGGAATATGTACTAAAAAAACCCCAAAACCAGGAGTTTGGAGCTCCTCTGTCAGCTCTGACAAGAGCCCTGGTGATTTGTTTATGTCCCGTTTGTAGTGTGGCCACTGCAGGGAGAATCTTTGGAGTGAACCAATGTTTCCAACACACCCAGCTCTAAAATCACAGCTGGCATTCCCAAACTGGCATCCAGAGCAGGGAGCTGAGAGTGCTGAAAGCCCAGGCAGGGTGAGGAATAAAAGAACAGGAAAGGTGGCACCAAACCACCCTGGAAAAGTGATGAAATTTCAGCCCTGCTGGGTTTGCCAGGTGTTTCCAGCTGCTGCTCTGGGCAGGGACAGGGCCATGGCAGCAGGGACAGGGCCATGGCATCAGGGACAGTCCCTGAGGACACATTCCTGCCCTGTGCTGGTGTTTCCTGAGGATAACCCAGACCCCAACACTGAGCCCTTTGTCTGCATTGCCAATTTGCCCTTTTCTGCCCTCAGCCCACGCCTGGCAGCTCCCTGAGGATGTTTGGAGCAGGGCTGGCATTCCCATTTCAACTTGGCTCTTCCCAAGTTCAGGGGCACAGTGGCATATTTTAGACTTGGGTTTGTTTTTCTGCTCTCCTTCCCCAGGATTTCCAGGCCCTGTGCTTTCAGGTGATTTTTTTAGAGCTGTGTTTGTTTTTCTGCTCTCCTTTCCCAGAGTTTTCAGGCCCTGTGCTGAGACCACAGGCTCCGCCCTGCACCCAAAACTTTCCAACCCTGAGGGAAGCTTGAAAATCAATTTTAACCCAGCACAATCTGAGCTTATCTCTACCCAAAATCTGGAGCTTTCAGGTGGAAACAGCCCCGAAGGCTTTAAAGGGATGTGGCAAGGAGGAACACCAGGCAGTGTCATCCCCTGGGGTGGGGACAGTGCCCAGCCTGGCAAAAAGAAGGGAAAAAAGAAGGGACCCAGCTGATCCAGGATTGCACCCAGAGCCTGTGCTGGGTGGGGATGGAGCAGAGAAAGGGTTCAGGAAGGATCCAGATGATCCAAGATTGCACCCAGAGCCCATCAGGGCCAGGGTTCAGCAGGATCCAGCTGCTGGAGCCATTCTAGGAGGGAATTTAGGAACAGGGTGAATCAGTAGGCAAAGCAGGAGACGTGATCCACTTGGCTTGCAGGCTGGCTGGCCAAGGATCACCTCATGAATAATGCACCATCCTCATCCTCACTGAACCCTCCTGAGCTCTCTGTGCCCTGTCCCTGTGGCAGCCAAGTCCAGCAGTGCAGCTGATTGCATCTCTGCTCAAGAATCCCAAAAAACAGGAGGGAGAAAAAACGAGGACCACCCTTTGTATTGTGTCACACCCTTGGAATCTCCAATATCTCATGGCAGCTTTGCTGCACACCCTGTTCTCAGGCTGGGTCACTGCAGATTCTGCCCCAGGCCACAGTGGAAATTCTGTTTGCTGGACTGAGGAATGCTCTGTGCTAATTACAGCAGCCCAGACTGGGGAACTGCTTGGATTCCAGCTGAACCTTCTGGGTTTAAACCCTGCTTAAATTTAAGACTCCTGAATTTCATAATAAATGTCTTTAAAGTGAAAGAGAGGAGGTTTAGATGGGATATTAGGAAGAAATTCTTCCTGTGAGGGTGGTGAGGCCCTGGCACAGAGCAACTGGGGCTGCCTCTGGATCCCTGGAAGTGCCCAAGGCCAGGTTGGATGGGGCTTGGAGCAGCCTGGGATAGTGGAATCTGTCCCTGCCCATGGCAGAGGCTGGAATTAGATGATTTTTAAGGTTCTTTCCAACCCAAACCATTTTATGCTCCAATATTTCCCTGCAGGGATGACAGGTTGAGGCAAAGGGGCATAAAACACTTCAAACACTGCCCCAAAGACAGAGAGGAACAATCTGTTGAGCTGCTCCACACTCAAACAGTACCCCAAAGACAGAGGGACAACCTGTCCAGCTGCTCCACACTCAAACACTGCCCCAAAGACAGAGGGACAATCTGTCCAGCTGCTCCACACTCCTTTCTGTCCTCTCCCACTGAGCTTTCTTCTCCTGATGTGCCAAACAGTTTGGCCAAAACCAGGAGGAGGCTGGAAAAATCATCTTGGAATGAAAAGTAGAAGGGACTCAGGCACGTAAGATAGAGAATTGTGTGCACAGAAACACATCTTAAACAGAACTGTGCACACAGAAACACATCTTAAATAGAGAAGCAGCCCACAGGATGGCAGCAGAGCAGCTCCAAGAATCCTTCTTTTTGCTTTACTCGGTGTTCAAAGGGCTTTACTGCCTTCCCCTACACACCAGTCTGTGTCCTGGTGGGAGCCTGGAGCACTCACGTGGCACAGGGCTGGGAAATGTTCCTGTCCTGGGAAATGTTCCTGTCCTGGGAAATGTTCCTGTTCTGGTGCACACACAGAGAGCAGGGAAATGTTCCTGTCCTGGTGCACACACCTGGCACAGGGC